GGAACCCTTAAAGGAACCCAAAGCCCTGAAAGGAACCCTTACAGGAATCCTTTTTGTAAAGCAATCCTTAAAGGCATTCTTAAATTCTCAGAGAAACCTTACCCCCCCCGCCCCCCCCCCATCCATCCACAAAAAACAGAAATGCCCTCAGCCAATCACGAACCTCGAACATCCTCGGCTCCAGAGCCTTCATGCGCGCAAACATCTCCTCCAGGCTTCGGCAGGGTTTAGGGTTCGGGGTTTAGGGGGTCAGCATCCTTACTTGTTCACACTCTTCTGTGAAAAATAAACAAGCAGGCATCATGACTCTCCGGAATGCTTGAAGTAGCTAAGGTTCCTTAAGAGGATCTCTATTGGGTTTATGGGGTTCTATAAACCTTCTATAAGGAGGATCCTGGGACTTAGTGACTCGTGTTATACATAATACTGCAACTTTACTATTACGTACTGATAATTAACCCTATTAAGGTACTTATAACCTTACTTACAAAGTCCCATGGTCCGGCCTAAACCCTAAGGGTTTGGAGACCAAAGTGGAAATAGGGCATTTGGGCTCACAAACCATACTGTTTAATGAGGGTCTGTGGGTCAAGTTCGACATGTTTGAACTGGTGTCCAAGACTTGGCAGACCTTAAACCCAAACACTAAACCCTGAACCCTAAACCCCTAAACCCGTAAACCCCAAAACCTAAACCCGAAGCCCTAGACCCTAGCTCAGTGTTGGATTGAAGCTCCCTGATTGAGCCCTAACCACCCCTGCTTAAAACCTTAACCCGACACCGCGGTGCTTTGCTTTTCGGGCTCTAGCGGTTAAGTCGCTGGACCCCCAAGCACAAAACGGTTTAGGGTTTAGGGTTCGGAACTATCCAAACATATTCCAAGTCCTGACCAAAGTTTGTCCTATGTGTTGGGTTTATGTTCGAGAATTACCCCTACCTGGAAGAAGACCCCCTCTGGCAAGCCACATATGGTAGGGAATGAAGCCAAGAAATAGTTGTTAAACCATACAGTGTGCTATTCCGGTAAAAACTCTTACAAACCCTAAACCCTGAACTACGAGCCCTTTACCCACATTCCTGAACTGCCCTAAACTGCCCTAAACCCTAACCCCTAAACCCTAACCCCCAAACCATAAACCCCTAAACCCCTAAGCCCTAAGCCCTAAGCCCTAAGCCAAAACTCGAGTATCAACCCCATCGGCTTTCTGGATCTTCACCCGGGGCCTTGAGCGGCTGTCCGGGCATATGAGGCACCTGAGAACGGTGCGTTAGTCGTTCCGGGTTTAGGGTTCAGGGGTTCAGGGTTCAGGGTTCAGGGTTCAGGGTTCAGGGTTCAGGGTTCAGGGTTCAGGGTTCAGGGTTCAGGGTTCAGGGGTTTAGAGTTTAGAGTCTAGGGATTTAGGGTTTAAGGTCATTGGAGGCAGTATAGGGGCCTTAGTAGGTGGAATGAGGCTTTGGGGTACATGGTACTAGAAACATAATTTAGGAACACCAAGCAAGATGATTGCTAATTCTTTACGCTGCCCAATCATGCAGAATGACAGGAGGGTCTTTGGAGAGGGGAGCAGGGGTTAAGCTCCAAAAGGCCCTGGGTAAATCAAGTCAGGTTCGAAGTCTTCCGAATGTTTCTCTCCTTTGCGG